TTCTGTCTCTGAGCCTCTGAACTGGACTAGTCTAGGCACCTCAGAGAAGAGGGATCGAACTGTTTTGTGACTGGCGTATTTCACTTCACATAATGTCTTCAGGTCTCATCCCTGTGGTGCCTGTGTCGGAATTCCCCTCCTTTTCAAGGCGGGAGTTTCCATTGTGTGACCTGATGCGTTTGTTTATCCGCCTGTCTGCTGTCAGACCTTCGGGCCCCTCCACCTGTGGCCGTCGGGAGCAGCACTCCTGTGAGCCCGGGGGACAGGGACCTGAGAGTGCACCCGGCGTGGCTGCTGGGTCCCGAGGGACCATCCCAGCAGCTGCACATTCCACAGCCCTGCAGTGCACAGGCTGCCCGCTCTCCCCACTCCCAGCACCCGTATCGTCTGGGCTCCTTGATGGTTGCCATCCTAACGGGTGTGTGAGCCTCCACATAAATTGCATCTGTTAAAATTATTTCTTGCCCAGCGGCGTGGCCTATGAACCAGGAGGTCACAGTGCATTCCCAGAGCATATGCCTGCGCTGAGGGCTCAATCCCCAGGAGGGGCTGCAGGAAGCAACCGATGGATGCTATTCTCTCTCATCGATGCTTCTATTTCTCTCTCCTTCTGCTTTCCCCTCTTTAAAATCAATAAAATACACTCACTCACCTCCTGCTGGGCACATGGACTGTGTCCAGATCTTAGCTATTGTAAATTGTGCTGCTATGAACATATGGGTGCATATATCCTTTCTGATTGGTGTTTCGGGTTTCTTAGGATATATTCCTAGAAGTGAGATCACTGGGGTCAAATGGCAGTTCCATATTTAATTTTTTAGGAAACTCCAGACTGTTTTCCATAGTGAGTGTCTGCACCAGTCTGCATTCCCACCAACAGTGCACAAGTGTTCCTTTTTCTCCAAATCCTCTCCAGCACTTGTCATTTGTAGATTTGCTGATGTAGCCATTCTGACAGGTGTGAGGTTATACCTCATTGTGAGGTGATAGCCCAAGTGCCCATCAATAGGTGAGTGGATAAAAAAGCTGTGGTACATTTATACTGTGGAATACTATGAAGCTGTAAAACAGAAGGAACTCTTACCCTTTGCAACAGCATGGAGGGACCTGGAGAGTATATGCTAAGCGAAATAAGCCAGTCAGAGAAAGACAAGTGTCACATGATCTCACTCATACATAGAATCTAATGAACAAAGTAAACTGATGAATAAAATAAATCCAGAGACATAGAAGCATGAACAGACTGAGGCGGAAGCTCAGGGAAGGCCGGGGAGGGAGGGTGGTGGGGAAATGATCACGAAAGAGCTTGTATGCATATGTGCATAAGCCATGGACACTGCCAATAGGCGGGCGAAGGCCTGGGGCTGGGGCAGGCTAGAAGGGGTCAATGGGGGGAGGGGGACATATGTAATACTTTCAACAATAAAGATTTAAAACTAAATATATAAAGAAAGACTGAGATGGATTTATAGTGTAATCCAGAACAAAGCATGAGTGAAGTGTAGACACCCTCAATTTTAAAAATGTCTGATTCCGTGCACATCAGAGCCCCCGTGGTTCTTACTGGCTTTGCCTGGCTCACGCCCCAGCCTGTGTCTTGCCCCCTGCCCAGGCCTCGGGAAGGGGTTCATGAGGCAGTTAGGGGTGGAGGCCTAGATCTCAGGAAAGATGATGTATTTGGACTCGTCAGCATGTACGGGAGCTGAATGGCATGGATGTGAGCTGTCACACTCGAGAACTGGAGACGAATAAGAGATAGAAAAAGGGAGGAAGGATCTGTTTTCTTCATCAGTTTATTCTGTTCATTCGATTCATTCCACATATGAGTGGGGTTTGCTGGGTGAGAAAGATGAGCCAGGACTGAGAGAAGGAGCCACGTTGGGAAAGTGTGAGGAGTAGCTGGGAAGGCTGAGGAAACACAGCAGGGGGTCATCCCAGGGACCCCAGGGAGCTTCCTGAGGGGTTGGGATCACAGAGTGAGCAGCGTCAGGGTCAGATGTCTGCTTCTCAGTGGTTCTCAATGATGCAGGAGAGCCATCAGGTTGGAGGGCGTGAGACATGAAGCAGGATCCGAGTGAGGCGTTGGGAAGTAGGCTCTGTTCGTGGTGCCTCACCGTATGTCAGACCACAGGGGGCATGTTCACTGGAGGGAATCTGGGGAAGGGCACAGGGATTCCTAGTACTAGGCTTAATCTTCCAACTTTTCTGAACTTCCTAAAGTGATCTATATATATATAAAAGCCCAAGCAACCGTTCAACCGTTCCACTGGTAGCTATGACCTGCACTGACCACCAGGGGGCAGATGCTCCCACTGGTAGGTTAGCTTGCTGCTGGAGTCTGGCCAATCGGGACTGGGCGAGACAGGCCGGACATACCCTGGAGCCTCCCGTGGTCTCCCCCAGCCCCGATCATGCACTGGTGGGGTCCTTTAGCCTGGCCTGCGCCCTCTTGCAATCCAGGACCCCTCGGGGGATATCGGAGAGCTGGTTTCAGCCCAATCTCCACAGGCCAGGCCAAGGATCCCACGTGCACCGGGCCTCTAGTTTTCAAACAAAAAGGTTTCCCTGTAGAATTAAAAGTAACAGGGACGTGGCTTTACCACATCTGTCCAGCCTTGGCTGGGATTAGCCCAGCAGCACCTGGAGGAGGAAGATGAAGGCCAGAGCTCAGCTTGGCGTTCCTGTCAGGAGTCAGGAATAAGGATGCCCTAGGAGGAGGGTGTGTGAGAGCAGGAGCAGGGCGGGGCCAGGACAGCCAGCGTGGTGTCTGGAGGGAGAGCTGGAGGGAACCAGGAGAGGCAGGCCTGGGCGGGAGATGGGGGCGGGGCCTCTGTCCCTGGGCTGTGCTCAGTGGGGTGTGGAAGGAGTTCACACCCAGTGCTGTCTTCCTCCAGGAGCTGAGGGTGTCTCCTGAAATCCTGTATGTTCAGATATTGCAGATGCCACACAAGTCTCAAAGGGATTATTAGGTTTTTCAGAAAACTTGTGCCACCAGCTTTGGAGTCAGCAATCCGTGGCTCAGTCTCAGTTGAGGGTAGAAGTCAGCCTTAGTTCAGGCTGAGAATCTGGATGCTGGGAATGACAAATTAGCCTGGGCTCACAATATCCGTTAGTTCCCTGAAGTTCTTACTACAAAAAAGTGTTGAGTGAATAGACTACCCTGAATAGTGTCAAGTCCTAGAATCAGTAAATGAAAACAATTTTATTAGAAGTTTGTACATGTGCTGTTTACTTTCTCTAAGGTTTCCTCCCCCAGACTGCAGAGTGTATTCATTTAAAACAATCTAATAAAAAAGCATAATATGCTAATTAGACCCGACAGCCGAACGTCCTTCAGACAAAGCCATTGCGGCTGCGAGGGCCGAGGGCAGGCAGCTGTGGCAGCCGGCAGTGGCAGCAGCGGCAGGGTGATGGGCACGGCACCTTCCCCTGATCGGCCTAGTTGCCTCCCCTCAGGGCTCCTGGACTGTGAGGGGCAGGCCGGGCTGAGGGGATCCCTCCCCGCCCCCCAGGGCACGAATTTCCGTGCACCGGCCCTAGTAACATTAGAAAGTGTGTCTAGAGAAGAGGGCCTTTGCCAGTGGACTGGTTCCTGCGATGCACAGTGATGCTCTGAGTGTCCGGCTGCAGAGGGCAGTGACTGGCGCACAGCTCCGCCAAACGGTGATGTCGTTTAAAACTGGAAGCGTTCGGTATTGAGTTTGTCGCAAAATCGCATGATTTGCTTTTTGTTTATATTGTAATTCCAGTGAGGAAAGTTTCCGACTCCTGCCTTTTTATTTTGTGTCCTCCCAACATTTAGTTACCTGGGAGCGTAGTTAAAGTAGCCACTCATCCCTGCGGGTGAATTTAGCCAGAAATAGTCACCCAGTGGAAGTAATGTGCGTTTCCTAAAGCATTCAGATCTTATTGGCACATCTGATCATTGCAGGCCAGCTCATTGATTATGTGACTGCTCTTGAACGTTTAGGCTTTGTAACGCAGTGTTTCTCTTCATTCTGACAGAGAGAGGGCAGCTTGGTTTTATGGCGACTTAATGTCTGTTTCAAACCGAGGCCATCTTTTCAGATGAAGTATATATTAACTTCTTGACTGTTGGGCTTTGGGTTTTTTGGTGTACAGAATCAAAATGAGCATTATTAATTAAAGCTCTCTGCCCTGACATTGTGGCTTCATTTGTGCCAAGTGTTAAAATCCGTCTATTTTAGATTTGCAAAGAACCTGGAGCCAAAATTCCCGTAAAGACACATGGATGTCTATGTCAGCAGGAGAGAAAAATAGCGCATCTATTTTTAAGGCAGTGGAATTCTGAAGTCAGACCACTTGGTTGAATGCTTGCCATAGTGACTGAAATTCCACACACTCACAGAGCCTCTGCTGCCCCCTGCTGCCGGGGTGTGGACACTTGAACAAAAGGCAAGAGTTCTTGAAGATTTATTGTTTTCTTGTGTGTGTGTCTATTAGACTTGAAATTATGAGTAAGTTAAAAAGTAAAATAAATATTCTGAAGTTAAAATCAAAATGGGTATAAAATTATGTGATTTTAAGTTACAAATGTTTTAGGCTTTAAAGATTGAAAAATTAGCCAGGTTCTTTCTGATACTTTTTTTAACCATAAAGTAACTGGGGGGGCAGGGGGGGCTTAGTTTTTGAGCCCCAGGCAGTGTGCCCCGCTTCCGCGCCACTAAGACTGGGGGCCTCCACTGCCTTTTATTTAGGCGGCACTGGAGTGGCGCTCGGGCGGAGACCGTCTCATAGTCCACTTCCCTGGCCCGGATCTGGGAGGGGAGCACGGTGCACAGGGTGGGGCTGACCTAAGGAAGGAGAACAGTTTCCAGTGTAGCTGCGTGTTCGTCTGTAGATTTCCAGGGCACGTCTTCTGTGTGCTGGGTTCTGAGATGGCCTCTGGGGAAACGGTCACAGATAAGGGGCTGACTGGTCTGGTGGGAGTGAGCCTCCGTCTTAGCAAGTGAACGCCAGCCCTGCGGCCCCCTTCCCTAAGGAAGGTTGTACTGGGAGGTGTCCTTACCTGTGAGCAGCATCACATTTGGGTTTGAATTCCCATGTATATTATACAGTTCTTTCTTGGGAGTTGCTTCAAAGTTTAACCTCCAGAACCTGATCAAAGTCAAATACAGATTTTTTGGTAGGGTAATATTTAGATGTTTTGATCAACTATGGATTCCACTTGAATTCTGAGGGACAGGGTAGTTTTTAAAAATATACCCTGTTGGTCAACTTAGGGATAAAAGGGCATCTATGATAGAGTTCCATATTATTGTTTAAAAAATAAGTTCTGTTTTAATACCTTTGCTTCATTTTCTTTGACCTTTAATCTGGTGTGCATGAGAATGAGAGGAAATTGAGATAACTGAACATGATGAAAAGGTCACCTAAAATAAGGAGAACACAAACACTTACTAGAACTGTACAGAGTGTAGGCAATTAATTGAAAATGCAAGCTGATGCCATATACTTAGTTATCTTCTGTGGGCATCAGCCCATGAAAGTGCATCTGGGACTCGATGTTCAAACCAGTGGCCCCGCTTCACCAGACGGAGACGCTGTGGGGTGACCTTGTACTTAGGCACATGCTCACAAGGGCTCCGGGTGTGGGGAGTCAGGTGTGGCTGCTGCCACCTGCCAGCTGGCGCATTGCCAGGGCACCTGCCTCTCGGGGATGGGAAGGGGAGTGTCTCACTGCACAGCTGAGATGGAGGTTTTAGGAAGCAGCTATTTTTTTAATCGAGAGCTATGGTTCAAACCTTTATCCGCATATCATTATATCATTAAAAACCATTGAGGACCTCAAGACCTTTGTTTGTATGGTTATATCTATCAATATTGGCTGTACTAGGCATTAAACCAAACATTTTAAATATTTTAAATAACCAAACTCACGCATGGTTTTATAACATCCATGCATCTTTATTTGGGAAATACTGGTTTGCTAAATTATGTAAGTCTTCCAGTCCTTGATCCTTTTTTTTAAAGGAAGAGTTCATTTTTAATTCTTTTAATATATAAAGGTATGTCCGTCTGTTTCATGCCTCCCTGCTTCGGGTCTTATTTTGATACTATCTTTATATGTCTTTTTTTAACCCTATTTGTTAATATCCCCAGACTTTGGCAGAAAGTCTATAATAATTGGGAAGCTAAAAAACTCACAGAGATAGGTAGTAAGTTTTTCGAAAGTCTGACTTTGATCTAAAAGCTTGAATTCCATCACTGGCAATAAACACTGCCGTCGGTTTTCTTGAAGTCACGTGTTCACTTCTTTAATGTTCAAGAAAATTTCTGCCAAATAACCAAGTCTGATACCCACACTTGTCATCTTTTCCAGTAAAAATGGTGTTCAGTTGTAAGAGTAAATAATTATTATCCACTTCTCACAACCCACATGGGCGATTAGGGTTAGGGTTCGGCAGTGGCAGTGGGGGGTTAGGGTTAGGGTTCGTCAGTGGCAATGGGTGGTTAGGGTTAGGGTTCGGCAGTGGCAGTGGGGGGTTAGGGTTAGGGTTCATCAGTGGCAGTGGGCGCTTAGGGTTAGGGTTCGGCAGTGGCAGTGGGGGCGGGGGTGTAATGTGGTGCACGCTGCGACCCAGTGGTGCTCTTAACTTATGTGAGGAAGGGAATCAAGCCTGTGGTCTCGTTACTGAGGAAGCGCCATTGTCAGGGCTGAGGGGCTGGCTCGGTCACCACCTGGTCAGCCGTGACTCTAGGCTCCAACCGAGCCCTCTGTCCTCAAACCAGGGTCCCGTACGTCCTCAGTGGTGGGAATCGTACACCCGGGACATAGGCACCTGGGATGCAGGCACTAGGGACACAGGCACCTGGGACTCATACACCCGGGACACAGGCACCTGGGACGCAGGCCCTGGGACTCATACACCCGGGACACAGGCACCCGGGACACAGGCACCCGGGACACAGCACCTGGGACACAGTTACCCGGGACACAGGCACCCGGGACTCAAACACCCGGGACACAGGCACCTGGGATGCAGGCCCTGGTCCAGCCCAACCCATGGGAAGAGCATTTTTCTGGCATTGCTGACACTTTCAGGTGACAGATTGAGGGAAGAGCCACTCATTCTGTAGAACACCGGCACCCAGGATTATACACCCGGGACACAGGCATCTGGGACACAGGCACCCGGGACACAGCACCTGGGACACAGTTACCCGGGACACAGGCACCCGGGACTCAAACACCCGGGACACAGGCACCTGGGATGCAGGCCCTGGTCCAGCCCAACCCATGGGAAGAGCATTTTTCTGGCATTGCTGACACTTTCAGGTGACAGATTGAGGGAAGAGCCACTCATTCTGTAGAAAGGGCCAGAAAATAGGTGCTGTTTGAGCCGAGTTAAGGAATTCGTTTTGTTTGTTAACTGGAAGATTTTAAGTACTCCTGCTTTTCTCCCTTCTCAGGCTGCAGAAAAGAATTCAAGAACTTGGAAGTAGGCTGTAAGTCTCATGACCCAGAATCACATCCACAAATAAAAAACCCTGTGATGAAAAGGTAAGGAGGGACAGTTGGGAATATTAATGTCTTTTTCGTAAGTGGGTGTATTAGAGGAACGCTTCACTTACAGACAGGCAAAGTGCCCGTTTCTACCTGCAGCCGTGGCCTGCGGCATGCTGGTGCCCGTCTTATTGGAGGCAGTTAGAAGGATGTAGACCTAAGGAGAGGGCCAGGGGCACAACACAATTGCTTCAGTCCTTGTAGATCCTTACAAAGTAGATGGTATTTTGCAAAAGAGAAAATTCAGGACTTAAATGAAGTAATTTGTCCAAAGTAGTGGAGCTGAGACCTGCCCATAGCTCTTGTCTACCTAGCAAAGCATCAGCTCTCCCTCCTTCTGTAACGCCCATGATAAAAGTGACCAGGTGCGCAAAACTGTTTGCAGTGTGCTACCTTTTATCTTCACCTTAGAGGTTAATCACTACCTAAATAGACGTAATCTTGGTTAGCTAGATTATTTTAAATTAGTCTCCGATCCTTATGTGTCAGGATTAAAGTACCTCCATTACTGTAAACTTTGCAGTGCTGGTTGGGAAGTGTCTTAGGGGATTGAAGTGTTTGCTGGGAATATCTTCCTTAAGTCTGAAATTCACAGCTTTTGAAATCACACTTCTAACGCTTAGAAACTTGGCCGGTGTTTCTGGTGAGCACGCCCGCCTGGTTGAGAGTCAGAGTGTAAGACATTAATGCTTCAGATCCTTCTGCTTCTGTTATGTCACACAAGTCGCCGAACGTGCTGCTGTGAGGGGAGGTGACCGGACAGTCCACCACGCCGCCTGCTCGCACGTGGGGCTGCAGCTTCGCTTTGCTTTTCTACTCCAGGTCCCGTGGACGTGACCCCAGCGGGAAGCTGCTCACTGCGTCGGGGCCACAGGTCCTCCGGGGCCTCCCAGCTGGTGAGCAAACCCTGTCAGGGGAGCAGAAGCCTGAACACGGCAGCGAGAGCCAGTTTCCCGCGTGGCCAGATGGAGGCAGCTCCGAGGGGGCAGGTGGGCTCTCTCACACCGATGCCAGTCCTGCTTCTGGAATGAGAACGAACAGCGATGACTTCGCACCAGCCTCGGTGTG